TAGGTTATATTTTCGGCCTTGATAATTTGGGACCGTTATTCGGAGAAAAGGCCAATATTCTTACTAACGCTGTTGTATCAATGTCACCATGGACACTGTCTTCAGAAGACAGAAGGAAAATAGTTATGACAGAAATGAAATGTTTACGTACTATGCTAGGTGTAACAAGGAAAAATCGATTTGAGAATGATGCAATCAGGAGGAGAGCCAGCACAATTGGTATTGATCTGTAAAGGTAGATAGACAACAAATCGGATGGTTTGGCAATGTAACAGAAGTGGCATCAGACAGGGTACCACAGAGAGCAGTGCTATACAGACACAGTGGTAACAGAGCCAGAGGTCAACCATGCAGAATATGGACCGCAGAAATATCAGAAACACTGAAAAAATACTTAATATGAAGCAAATGAAAAGGTCCATTCCAGCTATCTCTTCCTGCCCTGACACTATGAGGCATTGTAGGAGAGAGAAAAGAAGAAGAAGAAGACTTTGTTTAATGATAACTCCCTCTACAGTTTTAAATGTACACATAATACTGTCAATGTTCAAACTTTACCTCAGACGAAAATGGCTGCTGATGATCGCCGTCATCAAACAGAAGAAAAGACCTATGCCATCTTTTCTGCTGACTCAATTAGAGTGATGGCAGAGTCAGTAGGAGTTTCAACCTTACCAAATGACGCTGCAGTTGCTCTTGGGGAGGATGCCAGTTATAGAATGCGCCAGGTTGTCATGGTGAGTTTTTACAGCGATATATTTGTTAGGAAGATACAGATGTATAGAGAGCCACCATGGTGTAGCGGCTAGATGCGCTGTTGTGGATTCCAAGGTCATGGGTTCAAATCTAAACTGAGCAGAACTTTTTTTTAAAAATGATCTAGGCTCCCAGGTTGAGCCAGCCTTTAAATGGGTACCTGGGAAGTAAAGATGGTCAGCATGATGCTGACCGCATCACCCATTGAATGTCAGTTGGTCTATAAAATATAGGTTTAGCACTGTATGCCCAATATACCTGAAGGCGGGGAAGAGGGTCTTGTTACTTTACGGGCATATATAATTTAAATACTAAGAACACAAACATCCTAATTATAACTACAAACACAGTTTGAACTGGGTCAATTCATAGGAAATAAAATAAAATATTGAATAATTTACTGCCTGGCATATTTCACTGTATCTCATCGAATGGATTACCGCAGAATTTGCATCAGCGTGGTTTGGTTTGCACAAAGGATCAACATCATGGCACAAAGGTAGTAACCCATAAGTGCTCTGTTCTACTTCTGACTCAGCATTGAATCCCGAAGAATTTCAGCGCAGCGCACTGACTTCCCTAGTCCTGGGGAGGGTCCTAAAATCCTTTAGGTAGATGTTCCTAGTGGAGTGCAGTTAGGCTACTCTTTTAAATTTCTAACTGCCAAGGGATTTTTTAAGTGTGCAACAATACACGAGGATGTCCAATCTTTCTAACAAAAAATCTGCTCCTACTAGAAGTGCACTTGAAAAAAGATCCCAGCTTTTACCAGGGCCTGAACCTCCAGCACTTGAGGTAGACGCCATGCCTCGAGACCACTCAGCCCCCTTTGCATTAACATATAATGATGCACTAAAATGAAACATATTAGGTAAATATGTAAGTCATACAGTCTCTTCTTATACTCTACCACTCATCATGGGTGTCTGAGATTAATAGATTGATATATCTGTTTACATATTGTGGAATTACTCTAATTCCTATTGCTTCTGCAAATTACAGCAGATATCTGTTCCATATGTAATAAATAGTCCAAAAGGCACAGTCTCTGTCAGTCCTGACTGTAGCATATGACATGATATGAAAGAATTAGGTTCTTTCCTCTTGGTTGTCTTGACTAACAGAACTTCAGCTCATTTATGTGTATAGTAATCTAAGAATATGCTTTGCTACTGTGTTTCCAAGCTGTTCTTCTATTAGTCCATTGTAGGTCAACTGGCACCTACATTTAATTGATATATGCAGTTAGATTTGGTATATGGATATGTCGATACTTATAACTCCTTGAGTCACAAACAACTCACTGTGCGTTTCTTTTAGAATATGGTAGGATTTCCTTACAAATAAAGGATGTTCAACACTTAGCCTTCATCAGCAGAACAATCACAAGAAACAACACACAACCACTTCTTCGGTTTTTATTGTTGTTGGTTTTTTTTGTTTTTGTTTTACAATCCATGCTGTGTGGAATTGGTAGTCATGTCTGTACAACCTTCTGTCTTGTGTATTTTCATTGCACATCGTAATCATGATCATGTAACCAAACAAAAATGTCAACCTTTGTCCTCTTTCAGCTGCCCGGAGGCCTGCTTTATTGAAGACGGTTCCTTTGCTATTTGATAATGAATTCGTTTCTGTGTGGCGATCATTTTTGCCTAAGTTTAGACTATTTGCTGCTACATCATGTCTGCGCGGCCAGGCTTGCGAGCGGTTTCCAGTTTTTGTGGGAGTGGATCTGGCAGTCCTAAAAAGGGACGCAATCTCGGCTCTCAGTTGTGCAATCTCGTTCTGTAGCTTAGTCGTGTCTGCTGCAGCAACTGGAGGTCGGGCTATTCTGGGCACCTCGTACCTCTTTTTTTCTTCTGATGGAGTGATCCTGGTGACGGCAGTGGTCATTCCTCTCTTGATTCCCTTCAGGTACGGGCATCCAAGGTACCTATCGATGTGTCCCCCTGGGCGATTTGAGCACTTTCTTCTGCGGTTAGGCTTCCTGAAGTCTGGATCAACTTTCGCTAAGGGTCACTCCTTGAAGTCATGTGGGCCAGAGCAGTAGCGACACAATGGGCTGCTGCTGCAGGTCGGGGCTGTGTGCCACACCCTGTTGCACTCTTTGATGTCTCCTGTGTAGGCTCCAGGCTGCTGCTTTTGTAGGCGGGTGCTTGAGGGTCCCTGCGCCGCGGCTTTAGGTGTTGGCCCAACGAAAGGGGCCGCTTCAGGTGCTGACGCCACGATGGGGGCATCTTCTGGTGTTGGCATCGCTCTGGTAGGCGTTGGTGACGCCACGACAGGGGCGGCTTCCTTCAATGCTGGTGGAGACGCTGCAACACTGGCGTTCACGTGGCTATGGTCAGGCTTGACCGTCATCTTGTTTGGCTTGGGTTTCGGTGGCTTAAGATTGCTTAGACTTACACAATGTACACAGTTAACCTCAGTATTTAAACTGTAAATCACTTAACCACAGGACTCTATAAATTGTGGGATAAGAAACTGACTATTCTGAATTTTATTTTTAAATATCATCCATAAGAATAATTTGTTTTTGCATAAATCCTATTTTTCTCTGTATGCTTGGTCTACAGCTGGCAACCCAGTTCATGAAGCATTCAAGACGACGCAGGATGACAACTGAAGATTTTAACAAAGCTGCAAAGGAACTGTCCTTGATGGTTTGTTTTTGTTTCATTTATTCATTGTTCTACTGTGCCATTTTATGTCACATAGAGTTCGAGGTTTATTGCTTCATTCCAATATGTTCTGTGCAGTCACTTTGAATCCAGTCCAGCACGTTTGCTTTCTCTCATCGTTTGCCGTAGGTTTCCTCTTGGGTGTCCTTGTTTCCTCAATCCCTGTTTCCCATTTCAGTGCCTGTTTGGTGATTCTCTGTTATGTCTTCTCATAAAGGTAGTCAGGTCATTCAAGAGTGTCAGTGAACAGTTTAAATCAAGAGTTCTAACAAGTTTGATGGCTAATTAACTTAGGTGTTGATTATGTATATCATTGTCTAATATAAGACCAGTGGTTTTATGTGGCTCTGAAACTTGGAGCACAACTAAAAGAGATGAAGCCTTATTACAGTTTTCTAAAACAGAGTCTTACAGCGAATCTTTGGACCCATCAAAGATGCAAACAGTGGGGAATGGAGAGTGAGAAGCAACAACGTAACACATAATCAGTTTAAATCACCATTGATCACTGGCATCATGAGAGCTAATAGACAGAAATGGTTGGGGCATATTGAAAGAATGTCAGATGACAGAGAAGTAAAAACAAGGGAGATGAATGGTCGTAGACCACGAGGCAGACCAAGAAGATTATGGGGAGATAATTTCCGGGCAGACTTGCAAACACTTAGTGTCACCAACTGGAAAGAGAAGGCTAGAGATGAATGGAGGCGGGTGATATCTGCAGCAATAAACCTGAAGATCTCGGAATGCTGAAAAAGAAGATGAATATAGCTTGCATGCCCAATTCTGATCCCTTTGAAAATACCATATTTTTCTATAAGACTAATGTTTTCCCACATTTTTAAACTTTAAAATTGGGAGTTGTGTTATATATTGCAGAGTTTTACTAAAATATTTCGTGCTTTATTTGTTTTTTTTTTTCTTTCTTTTTTTAAACAGGATTGTCTTATACATTGGGGCATCATATACATGGAAAAATACGGTAGTTTGTTCTTTCCAGATGAAGAATGTTTTTTTTAACTGCTAATTGCCTAATTAGTATAGCCTTTCAGTTAACTCATCCCAAGACCTTTGTCAGCTTGTTTATGGTTGGTTGAGTTTTGCACGAAAGTTTTCTACAGAACAAGGAAGGCAATTTTGTGCCAACCACCCTTAGTTAGCTCTTATGACATGCATGGTAGAATACAGTGCTACCAACTTGTGCTAATCTTGTAGTCTTGTGGGGCCCCATTTTTAGTGGGGGAAGAATAGACATACTGTCCCACAAACACACACACACACACACACACACACACACACACACTGCCAGAAATAGCATATTATAAAAAATGACTAATTAGGGATTTTCTGAAATCTGATGTGTTAGGAATGAAAGGTTCAGATATCACAGCCTAGATGTAAAACACAGCAAAAATTAACCACAAACGCTTTTAAGGGCATATTTAAAAGAAAAAAAAGAAGACACTGGTAACGTATCAGATGAGTCATTTCAACATAAAAGTACTACCATCTTTTTTATTTCTTTTAAATATGAGCTTCAATGCTTTTTTCTTTCAACAGCCTGTTCATGGTCATGGGTCACAAGAACCAGCGGCTTTTAGACAGCTGAAGGAGACAGACCTGCACTTTGTTGATGACCCTGAAGTGAATCTCACCGACATTGCCCTAAGTATGTAAGCATCTTGGAGGGGGGGGGGGGGGGGTAGCTCTGCATTCTTGATACACTCTCAAAATCTTAGCTTTGATTTTTTGCTAGTGCTTATCTATAAACTTGTAATGCTGTTTAATCTTTGTATTGCTATAGCGATCATCCTTTTGACTTTTTTTTAGCAGTCTAGATTGCCAAAGTAAACATGGTAACATTGTATAACAATTAGTTGTTTAGAGCTACAACTGTAAGAGTAGTTATGATTGTCATATTAACTTTAGTTTCATTGTCATTACATATTTTAAATGTTACTATAATTGTGCCTGACAAGCTCACTGGCTAGCTGTTGAAGGAGTGATGAAGGTCTCACCTGCTGGAAGTTCCAACTCTCAAGGTTTGTTATTATGTTTAGCTGTATTAATAGACTAGTTGTACAATGGAATATCTTCTTCATGCCCACTGACTATAAACCCTGGAGGAAAGGTCTGGTTGTTTGTCTTACTTCTGAACGTTAGATCTTGTTCCAGAACTTGAGTTTTGCATGCACATAGATTTTACAGATGATCTATTTGTGTGCAGACTGTTGGTTCCTCCCCCTCAGGCAGATGCACTCCAGATTCAAAGGATGTACCCCTGATTAGTCGGCTGCATGTTAGGGAAGTAGGGGGTCTAATCATTTTTCTCCCAAAGTCAGACCTGGACCCACAAATGGAGATTGGAATATCATTACAGTCTTGAAGGCTGAAGTTTAAGGTTTTAAAGTTTGCAAGTCGCTTAAGCCTTCAGTATAAGTTAGGAATAAATATGTTGGGTTTTTACTAATGTAAGTAAAGATTGAGGTTCCCTACAATTCTTGCAGCCCTAATTCCTCAGGCTCAGATCCCACCTGTTCTACACTGCCATAAGAAATGATAAATGCAGGCAGGGGAGACCATACAACTCACCATACTTTTCTTGGTTACATTAATCCTTACTATCCCAACTATTGCTCTTATTCTTAGCGTTCACCAGCTGTAAACTCCAGCAGAAAGTTCTGGTTTCGTCCACTTCTGGACTTTGGTGTTTGTTCCATAACTTGAGTTTTGCTTGCGCATCCATTTTACGGATCTGGCTTATTTATATATAGACTTAGTTCATTGTCTCTTTGGCAGATGCACTCTGACATCAAAGGAAGTTTGCCTTATTAGTCACCTTTTGCAACTTGCTTGTTGGAGGGGAGCTGGGGGTGTCTAGTAATTTTATTCAATATGTCTTATAATTAAATGTTGAATTAAGAATCGACATCATAGCACTTGGGGCACTCCCATAAACGCTCCGTCCCGATCTTCAGCAGCAAACAAAGAGTTCCAATTCCGATGGCACCATTTGATTGTACAAAATTTTTTTTTAAATATTCAGAAACCATGAGTTGTTAACCCTTTGGCTCTGTACTATGGATATTGCAACCCTTCGGCCTTGATTCCATGATAGGTACCGTAAATCTGAGAGAAAATGTGGCTTTTCTGCCTACCCTCGGGAGTGAACCCAGACCACAAGGAGTTCGTCACCCGGTCACTGCTCAGTCCGATTTAGCCAACTACGCTAGAGAGTCGGGCTAAGTGGTTATTTTACTTTTATAGACTATTGTGTCTGTAATGTTAAATGTTTTGTGTGTTTTGTTTTTAGAATTGTTCATCGTCAACATAACTCCTGTATCATACATTAAACGTCTGCATCATAACTTCGGTATCATACATTGGTCATCTTCAATGTATCTCCCACATGAGATATTGGTCTTTTGCAGCATATCGCCCACATAGTGCTTTGCTAAAATGGTAAACTGATGCTGAGCAAATATATATTTTAACAGTATAGTTTTGTACTCTTTACAGATTTAACTGCACTTGTTGAGTCCCTTTACGGTGTCTGCATACAATTCTGGGGGCCATAAAATCCTTACCTCCCTGCCTTGTTTCGGGGGACCTATTTTGACAGAAAAAAATGGAATACACCCACTGCCTCACACAAATTAAGAGAACGCAAAACCACCTACTGCATGAAAAACTGGCAGTCAAGACAAGAGCAGTTGAAAAAAACTTGTAATAATTCATACCAGCTAAACTTTTTCAGTCCTAGAAGAAATAGCCCAAGTCTGGTTGTGACAGTAATGACGAAAAAATTATAGGTATACTACATCTCTAGTAACTAAGTATACAGCACAGTATGGGAGACAAATGCGTTGCCCTGACTAAACTCAAGATACAGAAACATACAGAAGATGTTTTCAGGTTGAATTTAATATCCAGTTACAAATGGCATGTTGTTTGGTACTTAAAAAGTTAAACCATAAAACAGAGGAAATTTAAAAAATCATACTTACTAGGAAATCAATACTTCACACATGAAAAGTTACTCTTTGTTCTTTAGGACCCAGAATCAGCGGCACTAAATGTCTCAGCCCCCATCCCCACCATGCAAACAAAGATGTAGAGCTGAGTTCAAGGAAGAAAACATTCATAGTAGAACACCTCAGCAGCATGGTCCTGCATGAAACCTGGACATGAATCTATACAGATGGGTCACAATTGGAGGCAATGATGATTGGTGGAGCAATGTTTTACTGTGTCCTTGGCTCCTCCCAAACCGGTGGAAGAACTTGTTTCAGCTACTGGGCAGAACTCTGTCTTATTGATGGTAGGACAATACATGAACAAGCTGCAAACACCTGCAGGCAAGATAGTTTTTTTTCACAGACTCCATACCAGCTCTACAGGCTGTAAAGGCCAGATCTGCTGACCGGTTATTGTAGAGCCTAAAAACAGAAATTAATTGAGCTGTCAGAAAAGGCAGAAATTAACCAGCAGTGGATTCAAAGACAATAAATGCACTGGTGCCTTAGTCAAGGAAGACAGTGCCTAGTAACAAATCTACCACCATTATTCTTTCCTAAAGTAAAAACCCTATAAAGAGAAAATCAGAAATAGATTGGGAAATTTGCATTGGGTATAATCATGAACATCTGAATAGAAAATACAAAATAGCCAGCTTTATGCCAGTGTCTTTGAACTGAAGAGACTCTGCAACGTGTCTAGCTACACTGTCCTATCCTGGGACAGCAAAGCAACATGTGGCCACACCTAGTAGACCTGCCAAAAAGGCTGTGGGGTAACCTAAAAGACTTCAAGCAGAATTCTCATTGTATGGCCCACAGCGCATGACCAGAGATTGCTGAAGAAAAAGACTAGTACCCTTGGTATTAAAGCTAGGAGTTATATGTCAGTTACACATTACTGTTTTTAAACTGGTTGTTCGTATATTTCCAGAAGGCACTTCAAGATATCAAATCTAACCCTAACTTGGTTCCAATATTGTCCTACCTGATCAGCTTTGTAGTCAATGGGGTGAGTGTTGTGTAATTATAGCAATGTTTTTAGGGTTGTGTTCACAAGTTACTGTTTCATACCATAGCATACATAATTTTCAGAAGTTGTATATGGTTTATGAGCATGATGATTTTCACTTATCACTTATAAATAAATAGGATTCTTGTGTCAATTATCATTAACTGGTACCTGTGCAGCAGAGTAGATGGAATTAAATGATATAACAGAATCAATTATGTAGAATTTTTGGAGAGAAATAAAAAAAACTCCAGCAGATCAAGAGGCAAAAAGGAAAAAAAAAGACTTTGGCATAGGATAAGATACACATTGAGCAAATCTGAAAAATATATAAATTGATTGTGTTTGTAATGGAGGAATTAAGGTAGACCAAATACACATGGGGAGTTAATCATAATTTGTGGAGAAAAAGATAGTTTATAGAGTGAGCTGCATAAGAAAGTAAAGAATAAATAAAACCAGTTGGCCTAGGACCTATGCTGCACTGGTAAATTCTTCTTTTATTCTAATATGCCATAAAGCATTGTAGAGAGGAATTATGTGAAGTTTCTTGTCTTTTACCAGCTGTGTGGCTTGATATAATGTCATATTGTGTGTCTGTGGTGTCTCTTTTACTCTGTTCATCTATGTCTTTCTTGGTCGGCCTCTTGCCTCGTAACCTGCTGTTCTTATGTAATACACTCTAGCTGCTGGCTGATTTGGTTTCATTCTGATAAGATGACCAAACCATTTGATTCTTTAATGTTCTCTGCAATCATTCACCAATACTGTGCCTACTATTTCCACTGGAGGATAAGAGGCAGAACAAAATAAAAAATATAAGTTACCAGAAATGTAATTACAAGCAGAAGCATTTACCTTTGATTTAAATGGTCTGCCTAAAACACTTGGGCTACTTGAACTATAACTTTGAGTTGTTATTGCACACGGGTGGATAACTATTTTTCTAGTTCATACATTTATAAAGAATGTTAAGTTTGTTAATTTATTTTCACCTTTTCTTGTTGGATTTTAATTTACACTTGATAAACTACACAGATGAAAAATCTGAGCCATGATCTGGGGCATCTGACCACAATGTTGAATACTGTGCGTGCCTTACTCCACAACAAGTCATTATATCTGATGCATAAACCTTATGTAAGTGTTTACGGCAGCCTTGATCTTATATGTTTGTCAGTAGTAAACTTGGATGTGAGCAGGCAGTGTATTCTTATGGTATACATTTTCTTGTGGGCTCTATTGACTGCTTGTTTGTTGTTACTGTGTTAGTGTGTTACTAAGATGACAGTTGTATGATTGTATTCACTGCTTACCTTGTTGCTTGACAGAATCACATGATGCAGCTCTTTAACTAAAGCTATAATGTTGTTTAACTCTTTAAGGCCCGAGCAAAGTGTTTCTTTGACTAGAGTCATGTGGTGTGAATGAAGTTGAAATCTGATTGGATAGCTTGGCACAAAAAGACAATGTTAAGATTAAGATGACGGATGAACATCATGGCACAAGGATAGTAACCCAGAAGTGCTTTGTTCTACTTCTGACTCAAGTCTGAGTCCAAAAAATCTCAGCGCAGTGCATGAACTCTGTAGCACTGGCAAGGATCCTGAAACACTTCCAGTAAATTTTCAACTCTAAATTTTGCCTGGGCAGCGCCGATTGGCTACTCTTTTTCCAGTTCCCACTGCCAAGGGATTTTTTTCTGTGCGCAACAATGCATACTACCCAGAGACCAAGAAAAATGTATAGAAGTCCACATGAAAATAATCCCAGCTTTAACCCGGGACCTCAAGCACTCGATGCGGACGACAGTGATGAAAAAAACAGTGTAAATCTATGTATGTCAGTTAGTAGATAATGGAAAAAAAAAGTAAAGTAAAGGACGCTTTTACAAGCCTTTAGGCGTATAGGGCATATAGGGCTAGACCTATATTTTTATAGACCAATCGGCACAAGATGGGTGATGTGGTCAGCAAGTATATTCAATCAGTTTTCCTGTATGGGCCCCATTTTGTGGCAGAAAAGAGATTAGACTGACCGCCCTTTGATAAATATGTAATAAAGTGTGACTAATTAGGGATTTATAGAAACTGAATTCATTTTGCAGTTAACACAGCTTAGCTATAAATAAATATAATATAACATGCTAATTGTCCATTCAATACAAGAAGAAGGAGAAGAATATCACAGATAAAAATCCAAATAACTCAATGAAATAAAATAAACTGAAAATATGAAGGTCATATTAGGTGGTCTAAAGATGCGCCAAAATACTTAAGAACAGATTGTTTGAAGAGTAAATAAATTTTTAAAAATTGAACAGATTTTAGCATTTTCAAGGTTGTGAATGGTAAGTTATGTAATGTATGTGTAATTGTATATGTGTGTATATTTGTGTATTCATAGTCTGATATTTTTATGCTTTGCCTAATGAAATGTCTCAAATAATTAATTTCAGCTCATGTATATGTGTACGTTCATAGTCTTATATATTTATGCTTTCTCTAATTAAATGTCTTAAATAATTAATTTCAGCTATCCACGATTGTCCAGGGTGTCGAATTCTGTGTGCTAGAGCCCCTGGCAGCATCTATCAATGTTTTAAATGACCACTGGGTTCTAAGGGACTATGCTGCACGACTGTTAGCAGAGATTGTTAAGTAAGTGTCTGTCTTAACATCATGGGACTAGAAATGCAACAAGAGATTAATGCAGTAAGCTGCTTAAAGACTGACTTAGTGTCCCATTTTACTGTAGGCAGTCACATTGCAATCAACATCCTTTTCATTCAAAACAAGGAAGTAGAAGAATAAGAAACATGATGCATATAAAGCAAGGTCTTTGAAACATTGTTTTTATAAGAATATTTAATCCACACAATGCACTTTGTTTTTAGCCATTGTTTTTATAAGTATATTTAATCCACACAAGGCACTTTGTTTTTAGCCATTGTTTTTATAAGTAAATTTAATCCACACAAGGCACTTTGTTTTTAGCCATTGTTTTTATAAGTATATTTAATCCACACAAGGCACTTTGTTTTTAGCCATTGTTTTTATAAGTATATTTAATCCACACAAGGCACTTTGTTTTTAGCCATTGTTTTTATAAGTATATTTAATCCACACAAGGCACTTTGTTTTTAGCCATTGTTTTTATAAGTATATTTAATCCACACAAGGCACTTTGTTTTTAGCCATTGTTTTTATAAGTATATTTAATCCACACAAGGCACTTTGTTTTTAGCCATTGTTTTTATAAGTATATTTAATCCACACAAGGCACTTTGTTTTTAGCCATTGTTTTTATAAGTAAATTAAATCCACACAAGGCACTTTGTTTTTAGCCATTGTTTTTATAAGTATATTTAATCCACACAAGGCACTTTGTTTTTAGCCATTGTTTTTATAAGTATATTTAATCCACACAAGGCACTTTGTTTTTAGCCATTGTTTTTATAAGTATATTTAATCCACACAAGGCACTTTGTTTTTAGCCATTGTTTTTATAAGTATATTTAATCCACACAAGGCACTTTGTTTTTAGCCATTGTTTTTATAAGTATATTTAATCCACACAAGGCACTTTGTTTTTAGCCATAAAGAGACCAGTAACCTAACTAGGAAGCTAGGCAACAAGACATAGTATGTATTTCCATGACACTAAAATGATAAATGGGACTTTCACTATAAGAAACAGGATTTACTTCCACCGCTTGCAAATGCTTTAGTTGATGGTTGTGTAGAGGACCCCTTTTCACTCCTTCAGGCTTATTGGGCATTTAGTGCTAGACATTCATTTTATAGATGGAAAGAAGAAGAAGCACAGTATGCCTATTTCATTTTAGGGCTAGGAAATTGGTCCTCAGGAGTAGCATTGGGAAATCAAACTGTAAATTGATAGCTATTGTTACAGACCAGGCGTATTATTTAGTGTCAGAGGTGAAGTGATGTTTTCCGGGAGCAATTATTGAGAGACGCACTAGAGATTTTTTTTTTTTTTTTTTTTCGTGTTCTCAGGTTCTAAACTCCAGTGAAAATTTATGGTTGTTCCTCCACTTCTGAACTTTAGTCTTGTTCCAGAATGAGTTTTGCCTGCACATCCATTTTACAGATCCGGCTTAATTGTACACAGACTGTTGGTTCCTTGCCTCTCAGGCAGATACACTCTTAACTTTGAAGGAAACCCCCAATCAGTCGACACTCACATGCTTATTAGGGAGGCAGTGGGTCTGCTCTTGATTTCCACACAATGATGGCCCTGAAATCATACAGGAAAACTGTAAAACTGATAGCCGTTGTTTCAGACCAGGCATATTGTTTGGTGTCAAAGGTGATGTGATGTGTCTTCCTGGAGCAATTCAGTCATTGGGATCAGATGAAATAAATTTAGTGTTCACTTAAGCATTGTTTGTATACATGCAAAGTAAGAGGCCCGTTTCCATTTCTTATGACATGCTGGACATATAATACTACCCCTAAATACTGTGTCAGAAGATGTCTGTGTGTTTTTTTTTTTTTTTTTTTTTTTTTTTTTTTTTAATTATTAGTTCTGGTTCCCCATCCCAAATAATTTTGTATTTAAATCACAGAATGATTGGTCAGTTGAATCTGATTTTTTATTTTGAAGACTAATTTTCAACTCAAAACTCTGAGATATCCATGTTCTGTTTGTGAGTGCTGAAAGGGGTGTGCATCTAGTGTAGTGAGGTGGGTGTGGACTTTTCTTTCAACCTGTTAAAGAAGGACTGTCTCCACAGTGATTGTGTTGCAGAACTCTACTCTGCCTTCCTAGCTCAGAAACTAGTGGATTTGCAAGACCAGTTCTCATCTTCACATCTGTAAAGAATTTGGACATAATTAGGGCATGATTCGGCACAGTAACAATGGCTAGCTGAGGTCAAGCCTAGGTTGTTAATATTTCCTCAACAGGATTTTAGCTGTTTCATTATCAACAGCCTCAAACCTGATGCCAAGAGGCAGTACACTATATGTATTCATAATGTATGTTTGTTTTTTAGATCACCAGTCACTGGGAGCAGTTTGGAATATTTATTTACAACATTGTATACATATATGATTTATTTCTTGTCACGGGAAGTGAGCATACTTTGGATCTTTTCTCCCAGGCAATGCCGGTGTGGTAGGTAATGAACAGGTAGACAGATTGGCTGGATCTGCAACACTGGGTGGTGAATTGATACATGACAAGGGAGATGTGGTCAAGGCCCTTAGAATACAAGCAACGGAATCAGTAGAGAAAGAAGATGGCCTGGAGAGAAGGAGGCACCTGGGTGCAACCAGAGGGTCGGCCGGCTGACTACACTCAGAGGAAAGACAAGACGGACATTTAACCAGATTGTGACCGGTACCATCAGTATTGGAACTCTGCGCTGGCTGCTGAAGATGATGACGGAGCATGCATAGGAATGTCCCTAGTGCTGTGATGTCAGTTCTTGACTCAACTTAACTCATTCTTGTCATTACTATCATTTTATCAAATCATTATTACTTACTGCTCTGTGTATGGAAATAATTTTTTTTTGACTTATGACAACTTAAATAGTTCACACTCATTACTTCTAGAAGAATATACATAATTAATGTATTGTTATTTTGTTGTTTTATCATAACCAGTCGATGGAACAGCCCACAGAATCATCTACGTTTTAACACTGTGAAATGTTTGAAAGATGTTCTGCTGGATACCACGAAACCTTTCTACTCACACTATGGGGCCATTATGACTTTGGTGGCTATGGGACACAAGGTAACATATGAATTGGCTTGGTTTTTTATTTTTTCTACATTCATCCTCCTAATCATATTTGTTCTGTACATCTTATTTAGTGTCAGTATGTGGCTATTTTTGTTGTATTTATTTAAAATTAGAATTTTTTTAGGCGAGGTACACAGTGAGAAGGACCAAAAAGAACATTAACTGAAGGAGTCATTGATACCTTGAGACTTCACAGCCTACCGGGCAACCGAGTGTGCCCTAGCTCAGAAGCTGTTCATACGTTAACCCGGTTACGTCTAGCTGCACAGAGCAGAATATTATATTGGGAGGTATTGTAACACAATAGCTCTAGATGCTTGCCGTACCACCCCAAAGGTCTTTGGTCTGAAGCCGCACCAAGGCAGATTTTTATACTTGACACACAACTCCTGGTCGACCCAGTCGGAAATGTAACAGGTACCAAACTTTACCATAGGACATGGTCCCTCTCTTATGTCTAACCACATCGTCAAGTGAGTTCTGATTTGTCTATTAAAAAAAAAAGAGTCTTGCAGCATATTCTCTGTTTGCCAGTGGCTTTAAAAGGGGTCCTTTTACTGTAGTGTCAGCATCTGTGGCTTAGGCGTTGCGAACGTGCTTTGTAATGCTGGGTGCGGACAACTTGCCTTGCTTTGGTTTTAACAGTGTCACTGAGAGCTGACTGTTCAGTAAGCAGCTGGAAACTACTCAACGTAAAAGTTGCCAGTTTCTTCTGCATCGTCCTGTAAAGGATACGCAGCTAACTGTTTTTTTTTTTTTCCACTATAGTCCCCTTTTATGTTGTATCTTAGAATCCATGTGTTTTGTAAACCTCTGTAGCAAATAGTGTTTCTAGAAGTATTTCTAACAATGAAGTATAGCTACATAAGGTTTTGAGTTTAATTATTTTCCTATAGAATTAACATAGACTATATTTCCCTTTCCTTTTACAGCATGCATGTTTTTATGTGTATATCTGTTAAGTTTTATATGGTTATTTGTACTGGTACTATTAGCATGTTGACTTCTCATTGGCTACTGAAGAAGGGGACGGGGCATGTATGGGATTATACCAAGTGCTGCGATGTTAAAACTTGATTCATTCATTCAGGGTTATTATTACTTTTGATAGCCACATACTCACTGTATTCACATGTACAAACACAACAGGCAGTAATTAGCACATAACTTATTATGTCTGTCTTAGACAATAGAAGATGTAGTGCTACAACACCTGCCACAGTACTGGCCCCATTTGCAGGCAGCTATGGAAGACACATCCTCAGAGAATGCAGTGGCTAGATCTGACTCCCATAAAGTCCATGGTGCTCTGCGGGTAAGTAATTATAGGTAGTAATGCCTTGTTACTTAGGTTATGTTGACACCACCAACAACAACAAAATGAGTAAATAAATACAACCTTTGAGGAGAGGTTAACTGAGGGGTTAGAAGATACAGGCAGTAGCAACAGTTTTATACATGCATTCATTGAATAATGCTTGCACAGGGTAGAAGGAATAAGGTGGTATGGCAGAATTACTAATGCAGAGCTTAGGGAGAGAAATAAACTATTACTTCCAGCAAAGTAGAACATGAGGAAAGGATGTTGGAACTGTAGAGGGCACACTTAGAGAAAACCTGATAATAGTATGGCAAGAATATGCTTTCGCTGGAACCCACTTGGTACAAGAAATAGAAATCTAAATGGGAATAGAATTAGCAACAGAGGTCAGAAATATTGTAGAAATATGAAGGAAGCTGCAGTGGATAGCCAAAGGCAGGACATCTTAGCATGAGTCGGTTGAAGGCTTCTACTCTAATGGGGGTTATTAAAACATACAATGAAGCTGTGCTCACTTTATTTAGCCAGATGTTTGGTTATATATATATATTTTTTAAACATTTTAACATTTCATTGTAGAGTCTCCCAGTTCAGCCTAGCCTGAAATGGGTGCCAGGTAATGTCATGGGAACTAAAGGCAGTCAGTGTGATGTTGACTACATCACCCATTTAGTGCTGCTGGGTCTATCAAAATATAGGTTTAACAATAAAATCACTTGTATGGAGTTTAGAGAAAACTATATAGAAGAACCCCTAACTGAGATCCCTGTGTGGATTCTGTGATCCTCATTGAAAAAAAAAAAAGGAAGGGGGGGCGAGGGTGGATAAACACATTGCTACTTTACAAGCGCCATAAAAGCCAACTATTTCTTCTTCTCCTTATCGTTCACTGGCTGTGAACTGGCAGAAAGTTCTTGTTATTCATGCAATTCTGTACTTTGGCCTCGGTCCAGAAATTTAGTTTGTGTGCACATCTGTTTTACTGATCTTGCTTATTTGATGCAAACTGTTGGTTCTGCACCTTTCAAGCAGATACTCTGAAGGAAGCACCCTTAATTAGTCACACTTTACGACATGCTCGTAAAGGAGTCTATTCTTGCTTCCTCCAAAATTGGACGCAGGCAACTGTTTAAGGATTTGCTAAAATCATATGTGTTGGGTCTGAAAGGTGCATATATTACAGCCTAGCTGTAAACCACAACACAGTGTGCAGATTGCCCTTTTAAGAGCGACTGCAGAAGAAGAACTACTTAAGGAAATGATGCATGGTAAAACAGGTAGCTGGGAAAGCCTCATTTCATTTATTTTTACTGATCTCTTGCTCACACTCAGTGACCACCTGTTTTGGTCAGTGCCCTATCACAGCCAATTTCAGTATGTAGAAATCCACCATTCACTGTATATATCTTGTAGCAAGACAGGCTATTAAATAAATATCATTAAAAGATATAAAACTGAATGAAAAGTAGATCAGCGAGCTTCACAATATAAAAAATACAAACGAAACATGAAACAAACCTACACAAAATCACTTAACTGACATATCCCGAAACAGCCACGTTTATGTCTTGCCAGTGGAGCTGGGAGAATACTAGAAATAAATATTCAAATATATATATATATGTGCGTTATGCATATATGTAGTGTACTGCCTCTTGGTATTAGGTTTGAGTCTGTTGATAATGAAATTGCTAAAATCTATGGAGGAAACAAACATAACCAAAGCTTATGTTCAGCTAGCCATTGTTATTGGGCTGACTCATGCCTTTGTTATGCCCAGAATTTTAAATAAAGCTGACTCATGCCTTAGTTATGCCCATAATTTTAAATAAAGCGTGACTCATGCCTTAGTTATGCCCATAATTCTAAATAAAGCGTGACTCATGCCTTAGTTATGCCCATAATTCTAAATAAAGCGTGACTCATGCCTTAGTTATGCCCAAAATTTTAAATAAAGCTGACTCATACTTTAGTCATGCCCAAAATTTTAAATAAAGCTGACTCATACTTTAGTTATGCCCAAAATTTTAAATAAAGCTGACTCATACTTTAGTCATGCCCAAAATTTTAAATAAAGCTGACTCATACTTTAGTTATGCCCATAATTCTAAATAAAGCTGACTCATGCCTTAGTTATGCCCAAAATTTTAAATAAAGCTGACTCATGCCTTAGTTATGCCCATAATTCTAAATAAAGCGTGACTCATGCCTTAGTTATGCCCATAATTCTAAATAAAGCTGACTCATGCCTTAGTTATGCCCATAATTTTAAATAAAGCGTGACTCATGCCTTAGTTATGCCCATAATTCTAAATAAAGCGTGACTCATGCCTTAGTTATGCCCATAATTCTAAATAAAGCTGACTCATGCCTTAGTTATGCCCATAATTTTAAATAAAGCTGACTCATGCCTTAGTTATGCCCATAATTTTAAATAAAGCTGACTCATACTTTAGTCATGCCCAAAATTTTAAATAAAGCTGACTCATACTTTAGTCATGCCCAAAATTTTAAATAAAGCTGACTCATACTTTAGTTATGCCCAAAATTTTAAATAAAGCTGACTCATACTTTAGTCATGCCCAAAATTTTAAATAAAGCTGACTCATACTTTAGTTATGCCCAAAATTTTAAATAAAGCTGACTCATGCCTTAGTTATGCCCATAATTCTAAATAAAGCGTGACTCATGCCTTAGTTATGCCCATAATTCTAAATAAAGCTGACTCATGCCTTAGTTATGCCCATAATTCTAAATAAAGCGTGACTCATGCCTTAGTTATGCCCATAATTCTAAATAAAGCTGACTCATGCCTTAGTTATGCCCATAATTCTAAATAAAGCTGACTCATGCCTTAGTTATGCCCATAATTTTAAATAAAGCTGACTCATGCCTTAGTTATGCCCATAATTTTAAATAAAGCTGACTCATACTTTAGTTATGCCCAAAATTTTAAATAAAGCTGACTCATACTTTAGTCATGCCCAAAATTTTAAATAAAGCTGACTCATACTTTAGTCATGCCCAAAATTTTAAATAAAGCTGACTCATACTTTAGTTATGCCCAAAATTTTAAATAAAGCTGACTCATACTTTAGTCATGCCCAAAATTTTAAATAAAGCTGACTCATACTTTAGTTATGCCCAAAATTTTAAATAAAGCTGACTCATACTTTAGTCATGCCCAAAATTTTAAATAAAGCTGACTCATACTTTAGTTATGCCCAAAATTTTAAATAAAGCTGACTCATGCCTTAGTTATGCCCAGATTTTTAGATAAAACTGACTCATACTTTAGTTATGCCCATAATTTTAAATAAAACTGACTCATGCCTTAGTTTTGCCCATAATTTTAAATAAAGCTGTCTCATGCCTTTGTTATGCTCAGAATTTTAAATAAAGCTGACTGATGCCTTAGTTTTGCCCATAATTTTAAATAAAGCTGACTCATGCCTTAGTTATGCCCATAATTTTAAATAAAGCGTGACCCTTGATGATGGTATTTTATTTTTCTGACTGTATTTAATTTTCTTAGCTGGCTGCAGAAAAGGTACTTCGCAGAAATATAAAGAAATTTGAGGAGTATTCTGTGTGCTGTAAAGAACAAAATGAACTGCCTCAGCCTGTGAGCCAGCCTGAAAGCATGGAGGACCTGTCAGAAGATATCAAACCTGGAGCATCACATTCTGACATCATCAAAGAGAGAACCATTGTAGAACTTTATATGGTAAAGCTTTGTCATTGCTTTTGTTAAAGTTAGTTGCGTCTCCTTTACAGGACGTTGTAGAACCAACCCCAGCATTTTTTGGCTGTTGTGGTTTTTTTTCTAGGCAGATTGATTTTATGTTCAGTAGTTTGTCATTGCTTTCTAAATGGTCAGCTCTCAATACTACTGTCGAAACCAACACAAGACGTTCTGCTACCGAATCATCTGCAGCTGGAATCGACCCGGTATTATGAAATGCATTCACAATGCCTAAGCCACAGACGCCAACGTTGCCTGTGTACATTTCTGTAAAATACTGTCTGTATTTACATACACACTGGGTATTGATTAGCTGCAGGAAGGCAAGAAATAATGAGCAAAGGACAAGAAAAAGAAGAGCTTTCAAGACATAAAAAGAAAAAAGAGAACTTTCAAGACATAATAAGAAGAAAGACACAAAGAAGAAGAGAACTTTCAGAACATAGTAAGAAGAAAGACACACAAAAAAAAGAAGAGAACTTTCAAAACATACTAAGACTAAAGACAAAAAGAAGAACTTTCAAGACATAATTAGAAGAAAGACACAAAGAAAAAGAAGAGAACTTTCAAAACATACTAAGACTAAAGACAAAAAGAAGAAGAGAACTTTCAAAACATAATAAGAAGAAAGACACAAATATAAAGAAGAGAACTTTCAAGACATAATAAGAAGAAAGACAAAAAAAATAAGAGAACTTTCAAGACATAATAAGAAGAAAGACAAAAAAAAATAAGAGAACTTTCAAGACATAATAAGAAGAAAGACACAAAGAAAAAGAGAACTTTCAAGACATAATAAGAAGAAAGACAAAAAAAAATAAGAGAACTTTTCAAGACATAATAAGAAGAAAGACCCAAAGAAAAAGAGAACTTTTAAGACATACTAAGAATAAAGACACACAAGAAAAGAACCATGTTATTAGGTTAGGTAAATGATGGGTTTGTAGTTTTCTTTGCTGTTTTCCACCATGCCATTCCATCACATGGTTTTGTCTGTCACATCAGTTTTGTCTGTTCTTGATATATTCATCACTGTCATCCACTTTTCAAGCACATCCAGCTTACAGTGGTCAAATATTAAGTGTGTAATTTCATATAAATTTTCAGAGTTTAAATGAATACTTTGGTGACAGCTTGGCCCATTGCCTGCCTCTCGTTGAAACTCATCATGTATTCAAGCCAATCAAGAATGACGATTTGGTCAAACTTGGTGATGAAAATACTAGCAAAAGTGGGGAAGAGCTACTAGACAATCTTATGGAACAGATCAAGATGGAGGTCTGTTCTCATCTTCATGTTTGTTTTTGGTTTTGTTTTTTGAAAGATTGTTACCAGACTAAAATTACACATACAAAATATATAAATTTATAAACATGTTAGCTTTCAAGTTAATAAACATTTTAGCTTTCATGGTTCTTAGTTTTCCCTGTTGGGTTGCTACTGAAACACATTACGGCCCACTACACTCAGGGGAAAGGCAAGACGGAATTATAACCAGATTTTAACCGGTACCATTAGTATTGGAACTGCGCTGGCTGCTAAAGATGAGGTCGGAGTACACACGAGAATGCTTTGAGTGCTGTGATGTCAATTCTTGATTCAACTCAACCCAGTACATGATGGGACTGCTTCCTCTTCAGCATTCCAGACCTGTGAGATTCATTGCTGCAGATAACACCCACCTTCATTCATCTCTGTGACTGGCCTTTTCTTTCCACTTTGTGACTCCAAGTGTTTATAGGTCTGCTTGTACATTACTTCTCCAGTGTCTTCTTCTTGGTCTGCCTTGTGATTTACTTCCTTCTCTTTTCTGTAGGCAGTTTTTGTGTGTCTTTCCATTATCTGCCATTTTTTTTCCCGATATACCCCAGTCACTGCAGTCTGTTAGCGCTCATGATCCCAGTAATGGTGATTTAAAGAGGTTATGTTATGTAATCACAGTCGACGTCATTGCACATTGGGCATTCCCATGCATGCTTAGTCCTCTGATGCATCAGCTACTCCAAGGTACTTCTACTAATTGTTCCCATGAGTCTCCTATCTCAGCCTTGAAGGCGGCAAAGTTGTGCTTTACCATACTTTACTCGCATGTTATGCAATCATTACTGCCTGTATGCTGGTCATGCTTTTGTCTGGCAAGCACTGCTGTCTTCTCGTGTTGTTTTCTGCATTCTTAGCGCTGTGTGTGCCAGTGTCAACCTTGATCCACAATCTATTTTTGATTATTTAAAAACAAAAATTTTTTTTAATTCAATCTCTTTAGCCTCTCCAGCATTAAGCATGCCTGTGTTTGATATTCTTTGTCTATAATTAATTTCACGATAACCTCTTGCTTTCTTTTCAATAGACAAAACCAATGTGAGGTCAGTGAGACTTTGTTGAAGGTTACATTGTTGTGAAGCTCGTGTTCATCGTTGATTTTGATATTCTGAGTTCCCTTAGAAATTTAATTGGTTGAGTTTTTTCATTTGTGAATTCCTTGATGTCTTTTTATTCTTTTTTATTTCCTTTGCAGTTAACTGTTATACATAATTTTAAAAATGCATTTCATTTATTTATTGTTGTACAGATTTATAGAAGATATATTTCAGTTAATTTTAACAGAAGTTAGACTGACAGATATGACAGAAAGTAAATGGAACCATCTTCAAGCAAGTTGGTTTAAGTATTTGGATGCCCTGATAACAGCAGATGGAAGGTGTGTCAAAAATATAATAGCTCAAGCAAAGGCAGCCTTTCACAAAATCAAGAATATTCTATGCAGTCTTTCTTTGATCGTTGAGGTGAGACAGAGAATTCTCAATTATAAATATATATTCTATCCTGATATACAGAAGGGAATAATGGACAGTTCGTGAATTAGTGAAATGTAATGTGTAAGCGGAAGAGATGTAATTTTGTATAGAAATAATAGGAATACCCTCAACAAGTTTTTAAAAAAAGGGTAATGAAGGTGTCTTGAAAGAAATAGGCTCATGGAGAGAACTGGCTGCCCATATCAGCAATCACTAGGAGGCAATCTACATTCTTTGGTCATATCACGAGAAGGAAAAGACAAGTGCATTGTGACGGTAGACAAGTTTGAGAGGAAAGAGGTAGACCGAGGGGGAAGGTGCTGGACAGTTTGACATCCTGGCATGGGAGATCATCTGTGGAAAAATTGGAGAGGAAAGAAACAGAGAGAGACCAAGGGAGAAGATGCTGGACAGTTTGACATACTGGCATGGGAGATCATCTGTGGAAAAGTTGGAGAGGAAGAGACAGAGAGAGACCAAGGGAGAAGATGCTGGACAGTTTGACATCCTGGCATGGGAGATTATCTGTGGAAAAATTGGAGAGGAAAGAAGCAGAGAGAGACCAAGGAAGAAGATGCTGGACAGTTTGACATCCTGGCATGGGAGATCATCTGTGGACAAGTTGGAGAGGAAGAGGCAGAGAGAGACTGAGGGGGAAGGTGCTGGACAGTTTGACATCCTGGCATGGGAGATCATCTGTGGAAAAGTTGGAGAGGAAAGAGGCAGAGAGAGACCAAAGGAGAAGATGCTGGACAGTTTGACATCCTGGCATGGGAGATTATCTGTGGAAAAATTGGAGAGGAAAGAGGCAAAGAGAGAATGAGGGAGAAGGTGCTGGTCAGTTTGACATCCTGGCATGGGAGATTATCTGTGGAAAAATTGGAGAGGAAAGAGGCAAAGAGAGAATGAGGGAGAAGGTGCTGGTCAGTTTGACATCCTGGCATGGGAGATTATCTGTGGAAAAATTGGAGAGGAAAGAGGCAGAGAGAGACTGAGGGGGAAGATGCTGGACAGTTTGACATCCTGGCATGGGAGATTATTTGTGGAAAAGTTGGAGAGGAAAGAGGCAAAGAGAGAATGAGGGGGAAGGTGCTGGACAGTTTGACATCCTGGCATGGGAGATTATCTGTGGAAAAATTGGAGAGGAAAGAGGGAGAAGATGCGGGACAGTTTTACATCATGGCATGGGAGATCATCTGTGTCAGAACTGATTGAAAGTACACAAGACAGAAGGTTGTGGAGAGACATGACTACCAATGCAATGCAGCATGGGCTATAAGAAGAGGACTGACATTGTTAACTGTTATTGTGTTATCAGTATCAAACATGAACCCTTTTTAAAAATAAAAGAGGAAAATCATAACAGAGATAGAGGTTAAACAAAGAAGAAGAAAATATAAGTTCAACCAGTATTCATTGTGTTGTCAGCTGCCCACTGTTAATCACTATAATAATTAATTTTAAAGAACAAATATCAATTGCTAATACCCTGTGTAGTATAACCACCACATACATATACAGGGATTCACATACAAGCCTATATATTGATTAAGTTTTGCAGTTTCTTAACTCTTTTAGTCCCAGGGTACGCATCATACGTTCATAGGTTCAAACCCAGAAGCCCAGTGTGTGCAATATTTGCCGATTTTACATTTCTCTTGACTATTCCTTGGGCTTCTGATGCTTAGCCGCATGGGACTCAAAGAGTTAACTAAGAACAGTTTTCAGGTTGTTTATTTGTCACTTAAAAAAATGACAAGGGTGTATCTGTGAAATCCTCCTTCATATCGTTCATAAAGTGTTACTATTTAGATAACTACACAAATTTCATTTGCTACTTCTCGTTCAGATGCAATTGTCTCGAAACAAGGATTCAGCATTTAATGACTTTGATATAGTACCAACAAAATACACACATGCAGAAATGAACCTGTTTAGGACAGCCAAGGTTTTCAAAGCTATTCTGTTTAAGTGGTCATAAAAGGTTTATTTAAAATATCTAGATTTAGCAAAGTGAATCAGGAAGCTTTCTCATTATGAATGCTTAAAAATATCAGTCCTAAACCCTTGCTTCTTGGCATTTAACAGTTAACAGCATTAATTGTAGATAAAGTAAAGTCTGTCTTTAGGCAAACATGTAATTATTTCATGTAGTGTACAATTTGTCTCCATGGCAGTCATCAATATTTCACATTCCCTTGTGGGTTCCAGGGCCCCATTATGTGCAAAACAAAAAAAGACCCACTCACTTTATCCCTAACAAGCATGATGTAGGAGTCCACTAATTAGGTGTTTTCTCTAAAGTCGAAGTGCATCTGTTTTGTGATGCAAGGAACCAACAGTCTGCATACAAATAAGCCATATCTGTGTAAAACAGATGTACACACAATGCTGTACTTCTGGAACAAGACCAAAAGTAAAGAAGTGAAACAAAAAACCATAATTTTATCCATGAGTTAACAGCCTGTGAACACCCAAAACAAAACAAAAAAGTAATTTTTCACACAGACCAGTACAGTTTGTTCACCACACATATTTCACACAGACCAGTAGTTTGTTCTCCACACATATTTCACACAGACCAGTACAGTTTGTTCTCCACACATATTTCACACAGACCAGTACAGTTTGTTCTCCACACATATTTCACACAGACCAGTACAGTTTGTTCTCCACACATATTTCACAAAGACCAGTACAGTTTGTTCTCCACACATATTTCATACAGACCAGTACAGTTTGTTCTCCACACATATTTCACAAAGACCAGTACAGTTTGTTCTCCACACATATTTCACAAAGACCAGTACAGTTTGTTCTCCACACATATTTCACAAAGACCAGTACAGTTTGTTCTCCACACATATTTCACAAAGACCAGTACAGTTTGTTTTTCCACACATATTTCACAAAGACCAGTACAGTGGAGTCTCCATAATATTTTACAGTTTGTTCTCCACACAGGCAAAGACCAGTACAGTTTGTGGTTTCACAAAGACCAGTAAGTTTGTTCTCCACACATATTTCATACAGAACAATACAGTTTGTTTCCACACATATTTCACAATCCAGTACAGTTTTGTTATCCACACATATTTCATATAGACCAGTACAGTTTGATTCTCCACACATATTTCACAAAGACCTTACAGTTTGTTCTCCACACATATTTCACAAAGAAGTACAGTTTGTTCTACACGCATATCACAAAGGTACAGTTTGTCATCCCACATATTTCACAAAGACCAGTACAGTTTGTTCTACACACATATTTCATACAGACTATACTTCTTGTTCATGTCCTCTGGCTGTAAACTCCTATTGAAGGTCCTGGTTGTTTTGAGACACTGGTACAAGATTGATCTAAGTTTTTTCATTAAAATTGGAGTTATAATTATTTTTAGTTTATAAAGGCATTATATGTGGTTTAAAAACAATTATGAACTAAGGCAGAACCAAATAATTTAAATTAACATCTTATCTGGTTATAGACATAGTAATCTCTTCTTAGTTATCTTAAATGGGTTATTGTGTTTATTTTTCTGTATAACATTATGTTATATTATCTTTGTACGCAACACATTATCACATTTCTAATCAACATAGTCATATAAAGAGTGATGGCAATTGATATTTGTTTGTGTGTTATTTATTCTTGTTGTGCAAACTGTTGATACTGTTATGTAAATAGGAAATCATTCATTTTTACCCTCAGGAAAAATTAGAACAAGAAAGGAAGGAAAGAGAGCTTCTTCAGCAAAAAGAAAAGGAAAAAAGAGAAAGGGAAAGGCAGGCTCGACAAATCATTGAACAAAAGAAAAGAGAAGAGGAGGAGAGAAAGAGAAAACTGAAGTTGGATGAGGAGGAACAGAGGAGGAAGCGTCAGTGTTTAGAAAAAGTAGATGAGCAGAAGAAGGTGAGAGACGAGGACAAGCGACATAAAGAATGGGCTGAGCAAATGAAAGAATTGAATAAGAACCGGTCAAAACCACAGGTAAGCTTTTTTGAAATAAACTAAGTTAACATGATAATCCAGGTGAGTGTGGCCTATATATTTATAAAACCATACCATAAATGCAGCAGTTCTCAACATGCGGGCCACGACCCTTCTTGGGTCGAGCTAGGACCCTTTCATCATAGGGTCGTCAAAGACCATCACAAAACACATATTCATTGAAGTTATAAAGTAGCGGCAAAATTAATTGTATTTTAGGGTTCGCCACAACAGGAGGAACTGTATTAAAGGGTTACAGCATTAGGAATGTTTAGAACCACTGCATTAGTAAGTAAATATAGGAATAAATTTGTTAGGCTCTGTGCTTAAGTAATATTCTTTGTTTTCGGGTTCACCAGCTGTAAACTCCGGCAGAAAGTTCTGGTTGTTTATCTACTAGTGGAGTTACATCTCGAAAGAGTCGACTGAGGAGGAGTTTCCTTTGAAGTTGGAAGTGCATCTGCCTGAGAGGTGAGGAACCAGCAGTCTGTGCAAAAGTTAGGCAGATCTGTAAAATGGTTAATGTCTGCAAAACTTCAAGTTCTGGACACAAGACCAAAGATCAAGAGGTGGAGGAACAACCAGGACTCTCCGACGGAGTTTATAGAAAGTGAAACTAAGAAGAAGAAGATGATTAATTGTAAGTAACTTAAATTCAGCAACATTGTCCGTGCTAGTGATTCATTATTATCCCATGCAGTCCCTGGTCTCAGATGATGTTTGCGTTTGTTTCCTTTATGATGTTTAAGCAAACACATGTTTTTCTTTGTTGTCCCTTTGCCCTTTTTACATTGTTTTTTTCCGGTTTATGATCAGTTTCAACTAACTCTCCTCCTGATTTTTTTTCTCCTTTCTCATAAATTCAAAAAAAAAAAATCCCCTATATAAGAAATTTCTCTAATAAGTTTGAGATTTTTATCCGATTATTGCATCTGCTGTTTTTCTTTGCCCCAGTCTTCATGGTTTCTTCAGAAACCGTAATTCTGCGTCTGTCGAGTGCTGTATGATGGGGAAGAGAGGGGGGGGGGGGGGTTGAAAATGTTTAAATAAAAAAAAATATATATAAGCCATATTTTGAGATAATCCCTATCCTTTTTCTGTAACATGCACATAAACACAGGAAGAAAATTAATATTCATCTATTGCAAAAAGTAAAATGTCAGCTTTCATACTTACTGTAAGGTATATCGGAAGATGACGTTTTTAATCCGTTGAAATTTTAAAACAATTTACATTTTCTTTGTGACTAAACATGCTATGATCATCAAATTAATGTAGTGAACTAACAACATAACATTTATGTAATCATCCAATTGAATTTATGTGAGTCTTTCAGTTCTCTAATTAAAAACAAATTTTTTGTCATTGTCAGTGGCAGCAAGAGATTAAACTTCGCAGCTTACAACTGGAAGAAGAGATGCAATACAGTCGAATGCTTGAAGCTAAAAAGCGACAGGAGAGAAAAGATCTTGCTCGTTTAGAAGAGGAGAAGGAAAAGTTAAGAAAGCAGAAACTAGAAGAAGAAGAGCTGCGGAGAAAAGAGGAGGAGGATGAGCTTGCTGGTCGCTGCAGAGTGGGCCTCCGACGGAGAAAACCAGTCAATTACACGGAAAAGGATGAAGACATTTCAGACTTGTTTGAAGACTCTAAAGTGAAAAATAAAAAAGGTGCACTTCCACCTCGTCTCACCTCAGGCCTTCCGCATCATTCCGACATTTCTGATGATTCAGATGGAGACCTGGCGCGCAGACTTGCAGCCGGAAGTCTGAGCCCCGCATCGGCAGAAGCTGGAGCTTTCAGCAAGGTCTTTGACCCCTCCAAGGGTTTATTAAAGCTGAAAATCAAACTACCGGCCCATTCGTCCACACCTCCCCATCCCATGTCAGCCACTCCTCAACATATACCATCAACTTACCATTCTCCATCAATGACAAGTCCAGCATATTCGCCTATCTCAGCTACTCACTCCACTCCACCACCTCCTCATGCCACTTCACAGTCTCGCAGCAAAAGCTCATCAGGTTCCGAAAAGGAATCCAAGCATAAAAAACCTGGCTGCAGTAAACAGCACCGGACAGGAAGCACAAGTTTGCCGGATGTTTCTGATTCAGAAGAGCAGCCGTTTGTCGAACAACAACAGAGTGCTCTGCCCTTACATTTACACTCTCCTGGTTGTGAAAGTAGTGGTTCAGACTCAAACCCTCATAGGAAAGCCCTCAAACTGAAACTAAAATTGACGCCTAAAGATTCTGCCTCTGAATAGACTCGGAATTGTTGCTGGCACTGCGCCAAAGTTACCTGAGTTTTAGCAAATTTCAACCAAGTGCATATTTTACGACTGTTGTTTGCCTCTTTACAAGGGAATTTCTACTCTAAATAGATTTAAAAAAATATAAAAAATTTGACACTCAAAGATTCTGCTTCCGAATATTCCTAGGAAAACATCGTTGGCACTATGGCCAAAGTTACCTGAGTGCAGTTTGGGCAAATTTCTATCAAGTGCATTTTTAACGACTGTTGTTTATGACCTTACAAAGTCCCAGAGGCATATATGTGAATTCCAACTCCAAACAGGTTCAAATCAGTATTTTTTTCATGCAACTTCACAATTAGATTTTACACCTGGTAGACTGGAGCTTCAGATAGTGTGCTTTGTTATGCTCTCAGCAGGGAGAGACAGGTCCACAAGGGGATAAAACCCATTGTAACAAAGTTGATCCTCTCACCTTCAACTTTCCCCGTGTGGGTTCTAGGGTCCATTGTGGGGAAAACTAGAATTGACCCACTGCCTCCCCAGCAAGCATGTCATAGGAGTCAACTAATTGGAAGCTTCCTTTGAAGTCGGAGTATATCTGCCCGAGCCGCAAGGAACAACCTTCTGCACACAAGTAAGCCAGTAAAAGATTTACATGCAAAACTCGGGCCATGGCACAAAACCAAAGTCCAGATGGACGAACAACCAGAACTTTCTGCCAGAGCTTTCAGCCGGTGAACAAAAAAACAAAAAAATGAAGAAGAACCTTCAACTTGGGAGAGAAATGTGATTTTCTGAAGACTAAGGTTTAGTATTTAGATGGCTACGGTGTTACCATTGTTTGTTTTGTTTTAGATATGTGGCGATATTTGTTGCTTCTTATCATGGAAGGAAAGCATTCCACAGTTAGGCTAAGCCAGGCAGCAGATGACTAAAGAAGCTAGATGTGTCACTCGCAGACACAAATATCACAGTTCTGCTGTGAACATTCACAAGGCAGTTAGTTCATCATCACCATCCCGTAACACTGTGTGTCGTTGGGACACCAGTTGCTCTTGACTGCCTGATCAGTGCCCTCCATCTTTGACGGTCAGATGTGATGGACTTCATGGTTCCATGCCTAAGGCCTGTCCAGTCAGTGGTGTTCTGTATCCAGGTCTTTCTTGGTCCATCTCTTCACCTCTTCCTCTCTACTGACCCTGTAGTATTGTTTTTGAGAGTCTGCTAGATCTTATCACATGTCCTTGCCATTGCATTTTCCACAGTTTCACTGCTGTTAAAAGAGGTTTATAGTTGCCAGTATGCTGGGTAATTAGACGAAGAACCTCCTCATTGTGATGTGGTCTCCGTATGATAATAACAATGTTGATGATAATAACAAGGCCGTTATATCCACAAATAAAAATATTTGTTGAACATAATAGATCAAGAAAACATTTTTTTTTCAATTTGTCAGAACTTCAGGATCAAAGTAGTTGCAAAAGGGTTTGCATTGACAAGATCTCTTTTCTTTTTGTTTAAAGTATGTACAGTTACTTCTTTTCTTTACCTGAAGTAAGCACAGCTCTATCTGCAGTTTTATATCCTGTATCAGTTTCACTGTCGTTTTAGTTCGTTCAGTGGTCCAAAGAGTTTATTTTCCACTATTGCTATTCCTGCCAAAAGGTCTCGGCAATCATTAAAACTTCTCAGTAACTGTTACATTTCAGTAACTGTTGGGGAAAATCTCAGTAATGTTTGGTGAAATTCTCAGTAGCTGTCTGTTGGTGAAAGCCTCAGTAAGTGTCAGTGAAAATGTTAATTACTGTTGGCAAAAATCTCAGTAACTGTTGATAAAAGTACTGAAACTATTCCACTATTGTTATTTCTGACCAAAAAGTCTCAGGAACTATTAAAGCTTCTAAGTAACTGTTAAATTTCAGTAACTGATGGTGAAAGTCCAAGAAACTGATGGTGAAAGTCTAAGAAACTCAAAGTCTCAATAATAACTGTTAATGAAAGTCTCAGTAACTGTTGATGAAAGTCTCAGTAACTGATGGTGAAAGTCTAATTAACTGAATAATTAAAGTCTCAGTAACTTTTAAATTTCAGTAACTGATGTTGAAAGTCTAAATAACTGAATAATTAAAGTTTCAGTAACTGTTAAATTTCAGTAACTGATGGTGAAAGTCTAGTTAACTGAATAATTAAAGTCTCAGTAACAGTTAAATTTCATTAACTGATGTTGAAAGTCTAAGTAACTGATGGTGAAAGTCTCAATAATAACTGTTTTTGAAAGTCTCAGTAACTGTTGATGAAAGTCTCAGTAACTGATGGTAAAAGTCTAATTAACTGAATAATTAGTCTCAGTAACTGATAGTGAAAGTCTCAATAATAACTGTTAATGAAAGTCTCAGTAAGTGATGGTGAAAGTCTCCGTAAGTGATGGTCAAAGTCCGTAAGTGAGGGTGAAAGGCTCTGTAAGGTAAGTGATGATGAAACTCTCAGTGATTGTTAGTGAAAGGCTCAGTGACTGTTGGTGAAAGTCTCATTAAGGACAGTGAAAGTCCCAGTGACTGTTGATGAAAGTCTCAGTAACTGATGGTGAAAGTCTCAGTAACTATTGACAAAAGTCTAAGTAGGTGACGGTGAAAGTTTCATTAACTGTTGACAAAAGTCTCAGTAGGTGACGGTGACAGTAACTAATGATAAAAGTCTCTGTAACTGACGGTGAAAGTCTCAGTAACTGTTGATGAAAGTCTCAGTAACTGTTGATGAAAGTCCCTGTAACTATTGATGAAAGTCTCAGTAACTGTTAATGAAAGCCTCAGTAACTGATGGTAAAAGTCAGGATAACCGTTACATTTGACAAAAGTCATGGTGACTGTTGGCACAAGTCTCGTTAACTATTGGTCCGAAAGTCTAAGTAACTGTAAGTAACCATCTGTCTTCTCAGTAATTATTGTTGCATATCTCAGTAACCAGTAATGAAAGTGAATTCTCAGAAGTGTCAGTAAATATTGTAAACACTTTTGCTTTTCTTTTTTGGCTGAAGAAGTTCTGTCCTCTTTTTTGCTTGTTCTAATTGTTCCTGACGGTAAATTAATGATTTCCTATTTACAAAAGGCATCAACAGCTCAGCACAACAATTAGTACAACGGTAATCAACTGAAATTACCCCTTGTATGATTATGAATGATGTTGTGTTATGTGTCAGTTAACTAGATGTCTCGGAAACACGGCTATATAGAAAGATTGGTGAAGTGACATTTACAAGGAATTGAACCCAGCCGTAAGTGTCAATTTTGTGGCTTCTTGGGACAACAGGGTTAAAGACATTTGAAGTGATTATAAAGTTATTTAAATATTAGCAGCTAGGGCAGAACACAATAAGTTACCCCCATCATTGTATTAAAAGCTTCTTGTCTGGGTAAGGGACATATTGTTGTGTTTATTTAGTTAGTTATGTATCCCTTTTGCAGGACGTTGCAGAACCAACCCCAGAATTTTTTTTTGGCTGGTGTGGTTTTTCTAGTCAGTAGTAGTTTTTGCCATCGCTTTCTGTCGAACCAAAGCAAGACTAATTGTCCACAGCTGGGATCGAACCTGGCATTCATTACAAAGTGCGCTCGTAACATCTAAGCCACAGACACTGTATATATAAAGAAAAGAAAAAAGGATCCCCTTTAAAACAACAACCAAGGGGTCAATATACCTTCTTATTAACTGACAAATGGGAATCTGTAAATATTTATGATTTATCTTATAGTAGAAGTGAACATATATATTGACCAAAGTTTCAGACTTCTCAGTAATTGTAGATAGAAATTTCCTTGGTAGTTCTTTCTATGCAACTGCCGATAGAAATCTCACCTCACATTTCTGATTAGCTTAAAGTCTCAACTTTTTTGCTATTAGTAGAAATCACAGTAACTATGAATGAAATCTCTGTCACTATGAGTGGACGTCTCAGCCTTCTTAGTAACAGTCAGTGGAAATCTTAGTCTTGTAACTAACGGAGAGTGGATGTCTTAGACTTCTCAACAATAGGGATTGTAAGTCTCACACTTCTCAGTAACAGGGATTGGAAGTCTTAAGATTTCTCATTAACAGGGGGTGGAAGTCTCAGACCTCTCAGTAACAGGGGGTGGAAGTCTCAGACTTCTCAGTAACAGGAGGTGGAAGTCTCAGACTTCTCAGTAACAGGGGGGTGGAAGTCTCAGACTTCTCAGTAACAGGAGGTGGAAGTCTCAGACTTCTCAGTAACAGGAGGTGAAAGTCTCAGACTTCTCGGTAACAGGGGGTGGAAGTCTCAGACTTCTCAGTAACATAGGGTGGAAGTCTCAGTAACTGGGAGTGGAAGTCTCATACTTCTTAGTAACGGGGTGGAAGTTTCATACTTCTCAGTAACAGGGGGTGGAAGTCTCAGACTTCTCACTAACTGGGAGTGGAAGTCTCAGACTTCTCAGTAACAGGGGGTGGAAGTCTTAGACTTCTCAGTAACAGGGAGTTTAAATCTCAGACTTCTCAGTAACAGGGGGTGGAAGTCTTAGACTTTTCCGTAACAGGGGGTGGAAATCTTAGACTTCTCAATTACAGGTCTTAAAAACGTTTTAGTAACTAGGAGTGAAGGTTTCAGAAGCCTTCCAGTAACTAAGTGTGAAGGTCTTTAAAAACATTTTTTAGTAACTAGGATTGAAGGTCTAAGAAGCTTCTCATTAACTAGGAGTGATGGTCTCTAAAGGTTTTCAGTAACTAGAAATGTAAATCTCAGACTTTTCAGTAACAATGAGTGAAAGTCGGACTTCTCAGTAACTGGTAGCGGAAATCTCAGACTTCTCAGTTACTTGCAGTGAAGGGTGACTTTTCAGCAATTCGGAGTGAAGGTTCAGCAACTACAGATTGAAGTTTTAGACCTCTCAGCTGAATTTCAAAATTCTTCTATAATTTTAGCTTTTCCGCTAACCTATGCAAGCAGTAATGAGGACTGGTTTTTTTTTGTAAGTCTAAGAAAGTGAATGTATTCATTG